GCTGTTCCTCATCCTCCCTATTTGTATCAGCTTGTGGGTGAGCACCTGGCCCTCCAGGAAGCCTTTGTCACTGAACTGCAGTCAGCTTCGAGAGCTTGTTCAAGCAAAAAGCGTAACAGTGTAACAAAGCTGGAGCCATGAACACGAAAAAAAATAAAGTCAGGGCCACAGCAGAGTAAAACAACTGGCTGTAAGCAGACACCACTCCACTCCTTCCCGTTCAGACAACTGCAAAGACCCCGCCATCCTCACCCTTGCCTGCTGGTGCAGTGCAGCCGTTGGGACGCAGCCGTTGGGACGCCGGCTCCCCCAGCGACTGGGAACCACGGCAACAGGGGAAACACAGGACAAGACTAGGCCTTAGGCCTTACCCGGCACAACGCCTCCCCTGCGGCCTCCCTGCTGGCTGAGGAGGGACACAAAAGCAATACTGTCTGTCCTTATAAGCTCTGCTTTGCATGTGTTCAGGGAGCGGGGACAGCTGTGAGGACGGCTCGCAGAGTTCCAGGAAGTCAATGTGTTTCTTGGCTTTGGCTCCAGTTTATTTGCCTTAGATGAAGTGGCGACCCGAGAAAGTCCCTTCGCAACCCCCCTGGGGCTGGCATCGGCCGCAGTGGGGCAGTACTCCTTGGGCCACAGTTCTGGGTCTCTCCCTACACCGCTCGGCCTTCCCCAAACCAGCCGCCACGTCTCTCCCTTGGGCCAGGGCTGGCTCACATCCCACCTGGCAAGGGGATGGCCTTGGGATGCAGCACAGTGGACAGTGGGAGCCCAGAGCAGAGCCAGGGACCGAAGGGAGCAGGCCCTGAAGGCTCTCCCCTCGGCAGGTGGGATGGAGGTGTCTTGCAAAGGTGAGAACAGATCAAGTGAGTGGCATCATGCTGCCTGCCAAAATCACCACTGCCCACACGGCCCTGAAGGAGCCCAGGACAAGGCAAGAGAGTGGAGGGGCAGAGGGAAGCTGAAGCAAGGACCAGCGGGCACCCCCATCGCACGTGTCTCCCTGCCCAACAGGCAGAGGAAGGGGAGGCACACCTGCCCGAGGGGAGCCCCAGTGACAGCCCCAGGACACAAAACCTCATCTGCTGATGCTGCCACCTCAGACAAGTGAGAGGGGACGAGGGATGCAAAATGAGGAAACAATCTAAAATGTAGCTCTGCGGGTTTGGGGTTTTTTTCATTTTTGCTTTGCCCTGCCAAACCCAGTTAACTTAAAACCCTAAGGGGGAGGAAGCTATAGGTTGATGTTCCATCACCTACGTGGCTAGACAGATTGCACTTGGGAGAGCCAGATGGAAAACATTCCTGAGCAATGGAGAAGAAAAGCGACCTCCCCTCCAAACAGTCCGAATTACAGTGCCCCTCGGCTCCAACTGAGGAGAGGCTGCAGGGACGTGGGGCGGGTGAAGCGGGACACTGGGCTTGGCCGGGTAGCTGTGACGGAGATGCTGACATCCCTGACAATATATGGCCAGTCTAAACCACAGGATATCTTGTCCTTTTAAGGTGGGCCAAGAGCAAGCATCTGTGCAGCAGCAGCACAGCCCTAGCTTGCCATCAATAGCCCTCGGTGTCACTGAATAAACACGGGCTCCTGTGCCATACCAACTGGCCATGCAGATGCCCAGGCACCTACCCCAAGACGAGACAATTTATTCGGTTGTTCCTCCGCACAGCATCACGGAAACAAGAAGGAACAGTAACAACAAGAGGAAGAAAAGCCACGAAACCATGCGGCCAGGCTGCTCGCTGGCAATTGGCGCCTGCAGCTGTCAGGGAGGGAGGGCCTGTCCCCATGCCTGTCCGCATCCCCGTGCCTGTCCCTCGCCCTCATGGCCAGCAAGCAGCTCAGCCAAGGGCAGCTTCAGACCCGGGACTCGAGACAAAGGTTTAAAGCAAATCTGTGGAGGGAGAAACAAGCAAATGTTTCACTCCTTTACACTTGCTCTTCACACATAGCCAGAGCTGTGTGTGCACAGCAGGACAGGTTCGGCAAGGATTAGAGAGGCAGGATGAATCACGCCAAGGAAGATACAGAAGATCTCCTGTGCTAGTGCCCTGCTTCTTGTGCGGCTCCCTGGTGGTGATCCTCTTCCTCCACGATGGATTTAAAGAGAGCTTCCCAGAGGGCCTGAATGCACAGGCAACTTTACAAAAACTGTTCTGGAAATAGGGTCAGCTAAACTAGGAAAAGACTCTTTCCTTTCAGAGTAGCTATGTCCCACGTGGCGCTTCACATGCTAGCAAATTTCCTTGCACAGGAGCCCAAGGAGGAGTGCATCAGTGCACCTACAGCAGAGCCCCCAATACATCCTTTGCAGCATGACTGCATTGTCTTCAGGAGATGCCAGCACACTCTGCTTGGAGCACCATACCAGGTAGCACGCCAAAGCACTACACACCTCACAAGATAATGCAGTAAAATGATGCACAACATGAGAAAAGAAAGAGTAGAAATTACATGGATTAAAACTCATTTCCTGGTGGTAGCACTGTCAACCATCATGATTTTATCATGAGCCCTGTAAAAATCTGACGGTGTTAGATTACTGCACAAAAATCTCAAACTCTTTTTTTTTAAGTCAAAGTTCTTGTTTTCCAGGTTGTGGAGGAAGGACATTACATGCTCAGCAAAAAACAAAAGGCAAATTGAACAGATTAATTTTATAAAGCCTCAAGCTTTGAAGGATAATCACGATCTCAGATGCTCAACCTGCAATTTCTTAACACACAGGGATAGCAACACAGAGCGTCCCTTCTTTACACAGCACATTTTGTACCCTGGAACATATACCTGCCAAAACTAAAATGGTTTTATTCTTTTTTAAAGAGGGAAAAGAATCACAACATCTCAGCACGTTTCTAACATTTTACTTAAAAACCAACACAACTGCACTTTAATGCTACTTGAAGATGAGAACCTCCACCAAATTACCAAACTCATTTTAAGCAGAAAGAGATTCAACATGTAAATATTTTGCAGAGAATGATTCAAGAGTTTGCAGCTCTTCTTGCTGCTCTTTTCCAAGGAGCACGACTTGCTGACAGGATTAACTACTGCCAGGCTCACAAAGCTGGGAGACAGCTGCCACATGGCAGCCATTAATTACAAAGCTCCACTCCTCTAAAGTTAGGGAAGAGGCAGAGGAAGAGGCAGACTATTTCATCTGTGTTATCAGCAGGGTTCCCCTGCTCCACAGGCTTTAGTGACTAGGCTTTTTCTAAACAAACACCTCCTTTTCTCCCCCACCTTGTTAACATCATTATCTTCCCGTCTTCTGTTTCTAGTCAGCACAGGAACTATTCCCCCATCACACTCTTCAAACAACAAAGAAAAATCTATAATCAAGACAATTTAAAATGTTCAGAAACGCACATACTCCCTGATATAGATTTTTTAATTAGAGAGTTTTAGCTTGAAATTTTAAGAGGGGAAATCACATGCCAGAGGAGGAAAGAGAGATGTGCTGGAGCAAAGGGATTCAGAAGCATGCTGTACAACCCTCACTCTCCCATCCACCCTAGGAGGCATTTGTAATGTCAGCCTCTGACTGCAATACCCAAAGCAGCTACACAGCTTTTTCATGAGTAAGACAACCTGTAGCACTCCTTTCTAGCTTGTATCTCCACACCAGGCAGACCCTCTGCAGACCTGCAAGCCAAACCCAACCCCTTCCCTCCACCATATGAGGCACAAACAGGTCTCGAGGCAACCACCTCCTGGTCCTGCTAAGGACCAGGAACAGGTACACATCATCTCCATCATCTCCATGCAATGTTATTAAGCACAGATAACTGTCGTTTGCCTTTCTCCTGTTATTTTGAACCAGAGCTAAAAGATACAAGCTAGCTGTTTAATTTTACCTGGGATTATTCTAGCTATGTATTTGCCACAGATGTCAAGAGTACCACAGAACACTCAAACTAAAGTTTATCACTTCCTCCCTCCAGGTGAAGAGAGAACCCAGCCTTGAGAATAAGTGTCTCTCTCCCTTCACTGATGAACAAGTTGCCACAGCCCTGTGAGCACACCCACCGGCTTATACCAGCTGGGCAGGCAGCCTGCTGGGTTGTTTGCAGAACTCTAAATTCTGAAATACAAAATTTCTTTCTTGATTTAGTTAGGTAAATTAATTGCAGCAGTAGATGGTGCTGGCAAGCCTCTCCAAGTTCAGATCCTCACAGGAAAGCCACTAGGAAAATTTTAAACAGCAGTGCTACTTGCCAACAGTATTCTTCAGTACAAGTTTTCTTTCTATTTTGAAGTACAAAATAGTGAAACTAATCTGTGGGAGGTGCTTCCTGCACACTGACAAAATGAAACAGCATCTGTTAATTTTCATAGACTGCAATATGCATGCAAAAAAACGGCACAGGGATCCAGTTCAACAATCTCTTATGTAATTCAAAAGTCCGTCACCTTTATCAGATGAGTCCAAGAAGCCTTCTGAGAAACGACATATCTCTATCCGACTTGAAAAAAAGATGTATTTTCAAAACAAGAACTGCATACACACACACACACATCCCCCTTCATCCACAACCACATCCAGCTGCTGACCTTCCAAGTTCCTTGCAGCACAGCCTTTGCTCTGGGACTTTAAAAGCCTAGCAGGCATTTCTAAAGGATTTTACAAAGTACACAGGCCTGGCCTTGTAAAAGCTCATGAGGAATCCACGGAGGTCATCGTGGAGCTTAGACAGTCTGCAAACAGCATAATCCACGTGCTGGTGAGGTAAGGAATGACCAAAGTCGGGTGGATAGGCCTGAAGACTTCTGCAGCGACTGGCTCCTCCAACAATGCTGTAAACCCTGGAGGAAATGCCTGCTGATCTTCAAAGCCCTTCAGTAGGAACAGCCTTAAGTTTCCTGAACATGAGCATTCTGGTTGCAAGGCCACAATCCTCTTATGCATGAAGACAAAAATATAAAAACAAAGCAAACAAAAAAACCTCAAATCCACTAAGGTTAATAACTGCAAATAATGAGCGAGACTGACCCTCTACTCTGCAACGAGCTGTCGGATCCATCCAGCAAAGTTTTGATGCTCCTCGGCACAACAGCCACACGGGTCAAGCAGCAGCTTACAATCTCTGCAGCTTTCCTTTTTCTATTCCAGGCAGTCCTCCACACGTGTAGACTCCTGGAACGCAACACTCAGTTGTTCGGACTAGGAGGGGTTGCTACAGCCTGTAGCTGTACAAGGTGTCCACCGTAACTATATCAAGACCATTGCAGTGTGTTGCACTGCCAGCAGAATTTTAGGTACAGCCTTCAGTCGCCTGACGGGCTGCACAGGCGACCATGAGTAAAGGGGAGTCTGGACACCTGCACACTGAAAAGAATTGCAGGAAGTTTATTTCAGGAACGCTGGGGAAAACAAAACAAAACAAAACAGACAAAATTGTGAACAAGTTTCTTCAGTAAGTGAAGTTTTAAGTTGCTATTCCTCCAGCCAAAAACGTCTGTTGCTAGTCCAAATCCACCCTCCTCTTCTTAAAAAACAATTCCACCACTAGAGCTTCACACATTGCCATCAAACAGATGATACAGGCAATTCTTCCCACAATTCACATATGAAAAGGAGAACTCGTTTCCTTCTGCTGACTCCCATTGACATGTAACATACCAAAATGTTAGCCTGAAACAAACTAGTATGAATTATACATAGGTTCAACCCAATTCTGGCTAAAATAGTAGTTGCAAGTGTTTACCATAGAGAAAAATGAACGACAACGACAAAAAAATCGATCAAGTGGCTTGTGCACCCACTCACACCCACCCCAATTTCTGCAGTAGGACAGTAAGAGTTTGCCAGTGGAACCTTGACTAATCACTTTCATGTATGCACACATAGCGAAGCGACATTGAAATATCATAATCAGACCCATGATATTGAAATTCATGCGTCTTTTCAGGAGTGGTTTCCACGTGAACATTTTCTCAGTTGTATATACATACACACCCACACAGCCACTTTCTTTTAATTCTAAAAATGAAATCACCTTGCTTTACAGTTTCAAGCCAGTACATACTATGGCAATATATATATTTACATTGATCTTGCTGAGGTCACCTAGAATGTGCTCTACCACCACAGACGAACAAGACCTAAAGTGTTTAAAAGAGCCACAAAACAAAAAAATAATCTGATATCGTTCCTTGATTAGGTTACAACTCTTGAAAGGAACAAACTGTATTTCTGCCCGATTGACAGATCCCATCCTCCAAACTTCATACAAAAATTATGTTCATTCAGAGCAAAAGTGAAGGACAAAGAAAACCTCAACACCAGAACTCATACACTTTCACTCAGATACTAAATAGCAGGAGCTATTTCCCACTTCCAGTTCAGACATTATTGTTTTGTAGCAAGTTTTATCCGCCTTATGGAGTCAACCTTTCAATAAAGGGATACAAGAGAAGAATTCAAGAAATCGGTAGCTGTCTCGCCTGTATAGCAGACAAGCGTCTATTTGAATGAATTAAAACAAGAAACTAAAAGGAGAAAGCAAGCAAAACCACCAGCTAAATAAATTATTTTTCACTGTAAGGTGAAAAACTTTTCTAAATCTACCCACGCATTTCACACACAGTAATGTGCAACTATCATTCTACCAAAAATTAGAAGAGTCACCACCAGATTGTTTCACTCATTCCTTCATCTAAACTTCAAACGGGGTTTCCAAAGCTAGAAATTTTTGCCATCCCTACTTACTGACAGCTGAAGACAGAAACTGGCCCCTTCCTCATCTGTTAGGGTCTGGCATGCTGTGGAGGCTACGGAGGTAGGCACTTTCATAAACAGAAGTGGCAGCAGCAATTCTGTATTTCACAAACTTGAAACGTTATTCAATACAGCTTTGACATAAAAAACATGAAAGCTGACAATTTCAAATGCTCCTCAGCAAATACACTTCTTTGAAACTTCCTAAAATCTCTAAACATGGATAATTTTTGAAGTAACAAGGTCTTTAAAATAGCAGTGAGCAAGCTCCCTGAAGGGTGGGGTAATTGGGAGGGTTATCACACCTCTGGGGGAAGTCACAGGCTCTATCTTGGCAGTGTTGCATCCCTTCCTATACCCAGGGGACTGATTAGTTCATGATAAGCAATTAGGCACCCTAGGGAGGACAGTTAACCGTCTTACCAAAACAAAAAGGCTGCACAAATGTAAGTCTCACTAGATTAAAGAAACACTACCCAAAGAACAGCAAATTTGTGTTTGTTCCCTTCTACTGGAACCAGCAAATATTACATTTTGCCTACATATGGCACACACAGATCTCAGAAATCCCAAATTTGAGCACGTACTTGCTGCTAAATTGGTAACAAATGCTCTGAAGCATTTTCTTTCCCAAGACACCAGTGCTGTGATGCAGGAAAAAGGGAGGGAAGGAGGGGAGGAACACAGTAAATAATGATTAGATGACTTGAACTAGCAATCTCATTCATTTAAATTCTCTTCCTCATTGTTAAAATAGTCCCTAACCAAGGACCAGCTGCAGAAAGTGGGACCTAGAAAGGCTGTGCATTTCAGAAGGAAACCTCCAGTCAGCAGGAGCCCCACCATTACACGTGCTGCTCCTAAAAGAGTTCTGTGAAGGTCCTGCCCACTGTAAGGCTCGCAGTGAGGCACCTATGTGTATCACAGTCTCCCTCACGTTAAACATTTATCTCTAGTAAAGCAGAGGGGCGAATTCACCTTTCGCCTGCCAACTGATGTAAAAGCTCCAACACACACCAGAGCTGCCGATGGCGCTGTTTCTGACTTACATCAGGCCCGATGTATCTCAAAGTACTTTGACGGCTTAAAATATGAAGGAATGCTTTTCAGTAAGACGACCCCCTGTTCTTTTCTGTCCTTTTATCTTTACTCAACAGTTTGCCATCCAGTGATAGGAGGGAACCCCAGCTGCACAGCCTGAGCTTTTATCTTCTGCTGACCACGCAACAACACAAAGCTCAGCTCTGGATTTCCTGCTGCTTGCCTAAAGGGGCTGTTCAGCTTGTTTAAATATTACTTGCCTTGGGAGCCCTGGAGTTGTGCCCAAGCACTGTACTGTATCTTCCCAGCATCCATTTCAGCATGTACTTTAAAGGTCTTTAGGTTCGATGTACTATGCTCTCCCTTGCTATGGGAGGAGCCTAATGCCTCTAGAAAAAAAGACCAGAAAACCCACCCAACTCCTCCCTCTCTCCCCATTCCCCCCATTAATCCCTGTGTCTCATTCTGTTACACAGCTAACAGAAGTCCCTCTTCATCCCAAAAGCAGCAAACATATTTAGCCCAGTAAACCGAACCAATTGCAACCAAGGGAAAAGACATTCTGGTATGAAAGGCTACAGCTAGGAAGAAATCAGATGCCTTGCACCACATACAGCAAGCCATCAATGCTCAGTGAGCAAACAACCAAGAAAGTACAGTAGCAAAAACGGGCTTTTAAACCAAGTTGTGGTACAGCAGCCTCTTGCCACGCTAAATTTGGGAAGCCTCCACAGTGGATTTTAGTAGAAAAGAATCGTCAAACACAACCTTCTCTAAATCTGCAAACTTAACATCAAGGCTCTTTCTTCCCTCATTCAGAGCAGCGATGAAAATAAAACACGGCTTTTACAAAACCAGAAAGGATATTCCAGCCTTCACAAATTCTTTCTGAAGCCCTCCTTTTCACAATTACCATGCCACCGAGAGGCTGAGTTCTGGCTACAAGGTCAGCAGGGAGATAACCTTGGCCAATAGAAATGATCTGCATCAGCCCAAAGGCAGTGCCTGGCGGCCACCATAAAGCAGCCCAGCAGGCTCCCTGTTAACCTGTTTGTGGCCGATAACAGCTGATACAGATGGAGAAGAAGATAAAAATCCAGACTCAAAATCTATTTGTGAAAGTTGTGGACACAGCAGCTCAAATAAGGGAAACTTCAGCGAATACTGACTGTGAGAACTGTCCTGTAAAAAGATGTCTCTCATATTCCTCAGCAGCTGAGATGCAGAAATACGCGTACCCCCACAAGCTGACACAGAATTGCAGCTGTGAGGAAACTCAAGGCTAGAAGCAAAAACCTGGTTTTAATCCATTCTGCTTCGCCTCAGCCTGCAGCGTACAGACTGATTTAACCTGATGTAAGCCACAGCTGTCACTCAGAAGGACAGACTGCCAGTCCTCACTTCACCCTGCAGCTCCGGCCACACGTTCTCCCTCCGTCCTCGTGTCAGTCCTAGCATTTGAACAACCACACAGTGATCCAGGACCACAGAACTGATCTGGCTTGGGATTTGCATTTGTTTGGGGCTTTTGTTTTGTTTTGTTTTTCACTTAAAAACGTATGCACATACAGTTTCATCAACAGTCTTCACACAGGGGAACTGAAACATCCTCAAATTACACCTCTATTTGAGTGAGGGATGAGAGACCTGAGTAAGAATGTTGTCGGTAACTCTACTCCCGTGGTGCAGCAGTACCAGGGAAAGGTGAAAAGATGTAGTGGAATGAACCCACAGCCAGCTCCATCTCCAGACTCCCTCCTCCCACTCCCCCTTGCTCCCTTCTCTCCAGCTCAGAGCTTGCTTGCAACCCCTCTGCCATGAAGAACACTGCTATCATTTAAAATTCTACCTGAAGTTCAGTTCTCCAGTTAAAGCCAGTGAAAATAAGTTCACAATAAAATAAACTACCACAACTAAAACATCTGCACCGCGCCTCTCCCACGGCATCCCTGGAAGAGGCGAACAAGAGAGCAAGGGGAGTCCCACGCAGTGAGTTAGTAACTTTTTGCTTACCTATCTAGTTTTTCCTAGATCAAGGACTGGGTGTACCTTTTGCACAGTGCAAAGCACAAACCAAACGCAAGTCCAAAATATCCTCCCTCCTTCCCCGCCTCCTTCAGTCTTTACATGGCTGAATTATCATAATTTTCAACTTGTTTGTTTGTAAGCATTTGCAAATGACTCCCATGCACAAAGACAAAATTTACCCCCTCCAATACAACTCATGCTTCATTAAGTCACATCAGCAACAATGCTGAAACAGTCTGCCACCATGTGCCACCACATGTACCAACCACAGCTCCAGAGTCCCCAGTAAGTAGGGCAAGCAGCTCACCTGAAGTCCTCAGGTACTTTAGAAACAATATTTACAAACCTTGGGCCTTTGGACTTAACATACAGCACAGTGTGAATGGCACACATGCTGCCACACAGGCAGCTGATCCCCTCTGGAGAGCGGTATTTATTGTAAAATGCATCACCTTAAGGAGACAGGATGGGACAGAAGTGGAGAAAAGAAATCAAAGCTGCAGAGGGAAAGGACATGTTGCCGGGCTACATGTCCCCAGGCGCTGCTAGCTCACGTTGCTTACACCATCTGATC